AAAAAAAAAAAACAGGGTTCAGGACTAAAAACAATTTATAGTAATGGAATGAGGAGAAAAAACTCCTATGAAGACAGTATGTGGAAAGGTAGTGAAAAGTACTTTATTTGAGACCTATAAACTCTAAACAATCTTGCTCTGAAGGCTAGCCAGGTGGAAATGTCTGGAGGCAGGGTGACATGCACACCAAGCTCTGAGAAACAGAGATGTCAGTGTCTGAAGCTGAAGTGATGAAAGGAATGAGATCACTAAAGCACAGAAAATAAAGAATAGAGGATGAGTGATACCACAAAAGATGCGGCTGTGCAGTTAGGAAGCAAAACAGCAAAAAGCAGAACAAAAGCCAAAGAAGTTTATGCTTGGTGTACTTAGATGACTTGGCTCAAAGCATGGAAAAGGAAAAAAGAAAAATGGGGGGGAAAAAAAACCCACTACGAAGGTCAACAGAAAACCTCGGGGAAGTAAGTGATTTAGTGGGAGACAATCCAGAATTCTGTAGAAACTGATCCAATTCAGTTGGCACACTTACCTTCAGAGGTCCTGCTACATCTAATTTTAGCAGTACTGAACTAGTAGCCCACGCTTGTGGCCTAACACTAAATGGCCAACTGTGACATCAAGATGAGATCAATACTTACCCTTGCTCTGGCAATGGCAGATGGCTGAGGATCCCTTAAAATAGCTAGTGTGCGCATCTCATCAGACATGTATGACCAGGTGCATAAGATTCTCTCTCTCGGAACACAGTGCATGAGGAAAGAGCATCCGAGCAGAGAACGCTGTCTTAATAAGAAAGCACCACGCGTGCAGGTGCAGGCTAGTGCGCCACTTACCACAGGCAGAGGGCAGTAGAACTGATGAATTGTGTGCATGACATCCAAGAGCATATTGTGTCCAACAACGAGTTTTCCCTAAAGAAAACAAGGTTAGGTTCTAGGTTCAAATTTATATTAGGATTTGAAAATAAAATACATCTTTCATATTCCATGAGGCTTTTGTACTTAACCTTGCTTTTTCACGTTTAAAAAAGTATAAATATATGCAAATATAAAAATTGAGCTGGGTTTTTCTTCAATTTGGAGTATTAAATCCAGAATGCAAAATAAAAGGTCCAAATGATTTTTATTTCATTGATTTTTTTCTAATCTTCATTAATATCTCACCCTTGAGAATCAGAAGTAGTACAAATAAAATGTTTTTTCAGACAGGGTCTTACTAGGTTTCCAAGATAGCCCCAAACTTCTGGGCTTCTGCCTGAGCCTCCCACAGAGCTGAAACTGCAGGTGTGTGCCACAGAACTTGGCTAGGAGGAAATTTTTACTTTTTACTTTTCTTTAGCTCTTGAGCTGCTAAATAATTTGTGAGCAAAACTTGAAATACATATTTTAAAACAACTGTTTAAAATAACCCACTTAGCTGGGCATGGTAGTATACATCTGTCCTAGCACCTGGGTGGCTGAGACAGGAGGAGTGCCACAAGTTTGAAGTCACCCTGGACTATGTGGTTCATGCCCAGCCTGACATACACAGCAAGACCCTGTCTCCATTCAACCAGTCAATCAACCTCCCCCCACTTATTTTAAAAGATACAGTCATAATAAATGCTAAAAGGCCCAAATAACTGACATATATTAAAGATAATACATTTTCATTGTCTACATCATTTATGTCAAAATTCACAGAGCATAGTTAGCACATTTCCATTATATTGCTTTTCAATAATGCACAACATATACGCAATAAGTCGCTTCATTCTGATACAAACATAAACTACCCAAGTCAAATGTCCACTTAACTACCCAGGTGATACCACTCTTAACATCAGGCATCAGGTCACTGCACTGGAATTGTTTTGCAAGGTCCCAGTGAATCTAAAGTGAACCAATGCTGATTCACAAAACTCTTTGAAATAAATAATCCTACACAAACTCTCCCAAACCTCACATGCTGGGCTTTTGGCTTGGTATCTGTGTGCATTGTGAATTCCTACAAAACACCAAAGTGCCAAATACTGATGAAAATGAGAGATGGTGGGTAAACACTAATCAACGAGGAAGTTGAGAAGAGAAAAAACTTAGAAAACAACATCTTGACTAGATGCAATGAGGTACATAAATACTTTAATCTGGCCAACATGGTTCTTCTCACAGGTATGGATGAGCAATTTGTCACTATGTCTTATGTTCACCAGGCTTAAGCAAATATAACTGCATACCTCACTGTCAGAAATAAGCAACAAATAAAAAAAGAGCAGACTTAAAATAAATATACTCTGTGGTATGTCATTGGAATCTGATAGATTAGTATACAGGGACAGCTGTTGCGGGTATGTCCTGAAAAAGTAGTCGGAGGCAATTTCCTTGTTAGGTACACAACACAGAATATGCTTACACAAACCTAGGTGAACTACCTACATGGTTTAGCCTATCACACACTAGGTTTCATGGGCCCAGTCTATTACTTCTATTCTAGGTACAAACCTGTGCCACATGTTACTGCATTAAATATTATATACAATTCTTAACACAGTGCTAAGTATTTCTGTATCTAAACATAGAAAAGGTACAATAAAAATACTAAGCAACATGAACTTTTCAGCACCATCACACTCTTATGGGAGCCCCGCAGCATATGCACTTCACAGTTGACTACGATATTGTTATTAGCATGTAATTGTATGCACACACACACACATACAAATAGACACAGCTCCCTCACTGTCCACAGAGACTGGTTCCAGGATCTCCCATGGGAAAAAAAAATGATGAAGCCTAAAAAATAACATATCACAGAACACAGGAGCCACAGTGAGGAAGCACCAACATCCAAAGGTAGAACAATCTAAATAACATAAACAATAAAAATACTAGATTATAATTCACAGCAAAAAATCAGTGCAAGCATATACACATAAAAAAATTATGTGAAAAAAGGATAGCGCTTCCTTAAAGGAGCCTATAAACAAATGTAGAGGGGAAAAAAAAGCAAATATACATTCACCATTAGATACGCCAAAGTAATAACTGCTGCAGGCCAGATCCATTAATAGATGCTAACACTAATGGACATGAGTTTGAAGAAAAATAGGTTTTTCATAGTTTCAAAGTACCTCCCCCAATATACTTATTATCTACAGAAGAGAAAAACTAACTTCAAAGAATACAAATCGACCATACACCACCTTAACCTAGGGATACTGTCAACATCATGAGCAGCACTGCTGTGGAATTCTGGCCAAAACCACATATCTTCAGTCCAAAGAAAACACAAATCCTAAATGAGGGACATCTGACAAAGTATCAATACTCATCAAAACTATCAAGGTAATGAAAGAAAGACTGCCAAAGTGTGATGGACACTAAGAGAGAATAACCAGCAAATGCAACACAGACCCCAGGAGTGGAAACAGAGAACAGACACAGTGGAAAGACTGATGAAGTTTAAGTAACTTCCTGGTTTTCATTAATGTACAATGCAAGTATAAGATGTTATGGGAATAGGTGTGCTAGTGGTTCATGGAAATTCTATTGTGACAATTACAAGCAAAAGCTAGTGGGCCAAGAGACAGACCAACCCGATCATAAATAAGGACAGCACTTGGACAGAGAAAGTCCACAAAGTCAGCAGCGCCAAGGAGAAACAAGGGACCAGGCCAGCAGTGCTAGTCTGAAGAAAAGTTCACAGCTATGGTAAACTGCAAAAATAGTGCGGGGTTTTACTTCAAAAGTGACTCCTAAGGGCCGGCCAAATAGCTCAGTGGATTAAAGCGCCTGCAAGCAGGCACAGGGGCCAGGGGTTAGATATCCCGCAGCAATTGAGACTGGGTATGGTGGCACGCACCTATAATCCCAGCTCTTGGGAGGTTGTAAATAGGTGGATCAGTAAGACCCTGAACACCCTGTAGACCCACACTTAAAATACAAAAAGAAAAAAAAAAAAAGTGACTCCGACACAGTAGGTTAGAGCTAAAGAAAAAAATCTAGTGCAGCACCTGCTATATTTGAGACCATATAATCTGGAGCCATTTTGGACAAAAATCAGGAATCACAGAACAACTACAGAACTTCACGTCAGGGTTTCCAGTGTTATCTTTACCACTGAGACTTGGTGAGAGACTGCCACAGCAAACAGTCACTGAAAAGATGCAGGCTAGACATACGCCCACAGAAAGTTTAAGCTCAGGCTGGGAAAGACATGGGGCTCTACCCTCCATGGTAAAAAGCCATGGCATGTGTAGCTTTCAGAGAAAGCTGGATCTGAAAGTGCTAGCATTGAGTACCGCAGTCTCCTTGAATTTCCAACCTGCTGCCTACATTCAGCACAGAGAACAGTAATATGACTGCTTTCTCTATTTACCAAGGTAAAAAAGGACAAACCTTGGCCTGGATGCTTATCACAGTCTGGGGTGTATAGACAAAGGAGTCCCTGGTGTTTTTCACAAACCCATTAAACATAAGCAAGGGAAAGAAAACAGTGACTTGTGGGATTCCAAGCCTGTACATTCTAGGGAGGAAAAATCACTCATTCAAAAATAGAGTAATTTTTTGGGGCTGGTGAGATGGCTCAGTGGTCTAAAGCACCTACTTAGAACAAGCTTAGCAAAGCATAGAGACCGCGGTTCAATCCCCTGCACCACATGCCAGCCAGCCCCGCCCCCTGGTGGGCTGAGCTGGCCACACACACACACACACACACACACATAAATAAATAAAATTTTAAAAAATAGAGTAATTTTTAAATCCACTTTTAAAAATTCATTGGTTTTGGGGGGCAGTTTTTCTTCTAATTTTTCTTTTCTTGTTTCTTCTACTTTATTTGACTCTTTTCTTCTTTCGCGTTCCTTTCTGTTATTTTTATCTCATTCTATTCATTTCCTTTTACTCTTTGGTGGGATTCTTTATCTTTTCTATCTTCTCATCTTTCCACTGGACAATTCTTCAAATTTTATTTTTTGCATTACAAACTTTTATATTTTTATTAGTATAACCATAAACTTGATTACTTTTCCATGAGTAAGCTCTATGCTACTGTTATAGGCAGCTGAGTTAGACAGAAATAGTACATGCAGTCAGGGCAAGGCCCTTAGAAGAAGCCAATATAGAAGACAAGATACCTTGCAACTGTGAGAGAGACAGACACTTCCATTGTGAGCCAAAGCTCAAGATAAAAGATCAAACAAATGCATACCTCCCTAAAGATAAGCATCCAGGACTGACATTCTTGATTGATTCATTTATTTTTGCAGTACTGCGGACCTTGTGCTTGCCAGGCAGGCGCTTATGCTACTGAGCTATCTCCCCAGCCCTTCATGATTGATACTCTTAAGTAGGTCTTTATCACCTTAAAAAAGCCAGGAAGAGTCACTAATGCAACCCCCTACAGGATAAGTCCTGTTCTATATTCATGTGTTCTTGCTATGTGACTTGCTTCCCCATTTGGTTCTGGATTTAATCAATTTTACCTGAGCAATTGTGCTTGTAGTCTTATTGGTTAACCACAGTTTTGTTCTACCTCATGTCCACCTAGTGAGCTCCCATATCTTTCACCTTAGACCCACCTCACTCATCTCATGGTTTTACTCTATAAAAATCATTTTAAAAGGGCAGATTCTTTGGCAACCCACTCAGGCTCCCTTCTGTTCCTCTCTCAGATGGAAGCTTTCTTTCCCGCAATAAATACATTCTGCTCTTAATCTCCATTGTTCCTAAAACTCAGTCTTCAGTTTTAGACAACATGAACTTGTCCTAGGTTATCTTTAAGGTTGGGAATTTCATTCCCCTGTTTCACTATTACTACTGAATTCTTTTCTATCATTAGTGGAGGTATAGTCACTGAACTTAGTACCATGTTTTCCTGAAAATAAGACCACGCTGGAAGATAATCAGCTTTGGAAACCAGAAGAAAAAATGTC